TTTGTTTGCTGTCTTTTTTTATTGGACCGCCAAGGTCAGGAAGCAGTCTGTAATCAATCAAAGTAAACTAAAGAACACCAGGAGCAAGTGTATTGGGGGAGGACGTGATTGGGGAGGGCGGTGGTAAAAGATTCCATGTTATTACATTATCTATGTCAGTTTATTCCTCTTCCCGCGTATTTTTTACTTGAAATCAGTCATATCGAGCTAAACAGTTCAAACAAATAAGTTAGTGTGTGTGTGTGTCGGTCGGGGTGGGGGTGGGGAAGGGGGGTGGACGTGGGGGGTTAAAAGATTATGTGCTATTACATAATCATTTAAGTGAGTTTGTTCAGGGGTATTTTTCTACTGAGCCTAATAGGCTAGGAAGCAGTGTGTGTGTGTGTGTGTGTGTGTGTGTGTGTGTGTGTGTGTGTGTGTGTGTGTGTGTGTGTGTGTGTGTGTGTGTGTGTGTGTGTGTGTTTGTAAGAGGGGGGATTAAAGGAGTTCGGGTTGTGAAACTACTTATGTTCGTTCGCTCCTGGGTTTTTTCAGGGCTGAACAGTAAATCGTGGCAGCTTGCTAAGCCGGAAGCTTGCTTTCATCTACGATAATTTATTGATAAGGTCACCGATAAGAACGAACCTATTCACAGTGGACTGACTTAAAAAGAAAACAACTAACCCAAACAACTCATTTTCAAAAATACCTCATTCTGGATTCGAAATAGGAACATCCGAACAATATCCCAACATGCTGCCAACTCTGCCAACTATGCTCATCACTGACGCCGGTCTGCACGCGCTGATACACTCACTATAATAGTACAGTAAAAAATTGGTGGCGCAACTAATCCTTAAACATCTCTTTAATCAAGGTGAATCAATGTCACCCATACTTTGTACAGCAGTTTGCACCTATTAACATTAACTTAATCAAGTTTTTATTGTTGTTGTTTTTTTTACAGCAATTGAGACTAGACTTAAAACTTTTTCTGCGCAAATGTATCTAAAATACTAATTAATCCCCGTCGCGCGGATAATGGGATTGTTCACAGCACTTCCCGCATCTCACATGCATTTTGCCTACGTATACAAATCATGGCCTACGTCACAGCTCACCAATGCCACTATCATATTGTTTTTAGTGGCAAAACTTGCGACAAAAAAATATACTGAACATTTTGTTACACTAACTAAAAGGTCTCAAAACATGCGTTAAATAAGCATAATTTTGCGATTAGATGGAAAAAAATGACAGACTTGCTTTTTAAAATGATATCATCCCAGCTGTAAACCTTTTAAAACGTGCAGAAACCACCCTATTTGATTTAAATTTGTATTTTTTATGGAATATTGTCTGAAATACAGTGTTTACAAAAATATTGACCTGTTAAGACAAATAACTGATACAAGTCATGAGCAAAAGCTGGAGAGTCTGTGTTCGATAGCTGAGGATAAAAATTGACAATAAGCCTTGTTGCGACACGAATGTTCAACACCCCATAGTGTAGAATCACCACACCAACAACACTAATCACTTGCGTCTGTGGTGTAGAGCTTAAATTCTTAGCTGTCACACTCAGGTGCCCAAGTGTTCGATTCCCAAATGGTGATGAATATTTTAATAAATATCTTGGTCTTTCTGAAGAGGACGCTGTGGTGCATCCCTCTTTGCCAGGTTGTCCCTGACAAGCAGGGTCAGAAGCTCGTTTCCTCATTGATCTAAGCCATCTAAATTTTGTTGATGGAACATATAAACAGGCATGGTATTTATTTAAAAATCATCAAAAAAATAATATCACACTCACACTGATCAAAGTCCCTATGGGGATATCATTACTCTGTGATCAATAAATTTCATTTTCTTTAATTCTGCCAGCCTAGATACGTTATTGTGTTTTTTTAAATAATTTTCTGGTCGCTGGTTTCAGATCTGCTATCAGACTTGAGCTATCGTTTAATGCTTTATAGTGATATTCAGGATCCTCCCTTTCTGATATCTAACGCTTGCATGAAAATATCAAAAGAGAAGAAGAGTAAACTGGAAATACATTATCATTAGTATTGTAGACATTTTCATGATTCAAAAAGGGACAAAAGTCTGCAGAATTTATATCAAATTACTTTAAAACATACACATTAGAAGTGTCGTTTTAATTAATCAAAAATGCTTGAGGCTATTTGCACTTTCCATCGTGTGGAGTGTCCGTTACATGTCAACCTACCCCCCCCCTCACCCTCATTAAAATGCCAAAACAGACAAACTAAACAAAATTAATAAATTAAATAAAAATTTAATTAATCCCATCATCTTGTTTGGGCTGAGCGTGCCTTGATGTCTGTTCTCTATCCTCTTGAGATCTTTATGAAACCTTCCGCCGTGCTCATCACTCATAATATCTCTAAGATTTGAAGGATAAAAAGAAAAAAGACAAACAAAATTATCAAGATAAGAGTGCAGAAAGTGCATTTGTGTGGCTTCGTGGTAAAATCAGGGGCTCGCCAAAATGATAGAATCGAAGAAACTGACATGTTTTCGCCTGTTGCTCGTATTTTGTCAATTTTTTGGTTTGTTTTAGGCTCAGCCCCTTATATGTCCACTTTAAAACACCTTTTAAGTATCTGTGAAACTCTTACAGAAAAAAAAACTTTGGTCAAAGGCATACACACA